GGGCGCGACACTGAGGGTTGCGATCCATTGCCGGACACGAAAAAAGACAAAAAAAAGGAAATTAAAAAAAAAAAAGAAGTGGCCTGATCTGGCTTAGCTTCTCAAGGGATCAAGATGGCAGCCACACTGAGATTAACTTATAAAGGAGAGCAATAAAAAGCAGAGAGACCAGCTACAAGTCTATTATAATAATCTAGGTGAGAAACGATGTTGGCTTGGGCCAAGGTGGTAGAAATACAGGTGGTGAGAAATGGCTACATTCTGGATGTATCAGGAGACATAGCCAGCATTACTGTTGATGAATTGCACATGGGATGTGTTGGGAAAGAGAAGGATGGAAATTGTATCCAAGCAGGTAAAAGTGTAAATGGGTATGACTGCCAGGCCCTATGAGAGCCCGCCAATGAATCACTGGTCATTTTGCTATACTAGCCACAATGTCTATATCAAGGCAGATGGTAGAAATAGACCAAGGAAGAGATTGTTAAGGTCTTAAGATCTGTGTCTAGGTCTGATCTGAGTCTCTATTTCATGTTTTCCAGGCATCTGTGGGGACTGGAAAAATGTCTTGACAGTGGCCCAAGCTGAAGTCTTTGATAAAATATTCCAGGAGAAGATGGCAGATCTTCCTCGAGAGCTGTTCCCATGGCAATAATGTTCAAAAAATTCTGAATCTTATATGGATACTGATTTCTTCTCTTGACCTGGCACATGTGCATGACGGAAGATCATTGCATATAAACCATTATTGCATTTTGGAGCCTTGAACAATCAAATCTTTGCATCTTTGACTACTTGCTTGTTAAAAATTAACAGGGTATTCATCACCTCAAATCTTTGTCATTTCTTTTTGTCCTAATTTTATTCTCTGTGGTGTTTGACTGTAGACAATAAACATTATTTATGGAGGCTTTTAAAACTTGTATAAATGGCATATAGTGTAATGCATTCATTGACTTACATTTCTACTCAGCATTTTGTATCTGGGTATCATCCATGCTGATGAACATAGACTAGTTTAGTATTTAGTATTGAGACTTATGACATAACTTAGTTACCCGTTCTCCTGGGAATGACTTTGGGTTTCTTCCCAACAAATTTACCCCTATTTAAAGCACTACTTTGGTGGACAGGATTTAAACAAAGATGAGTTTTTCCAGGATGTCCATCTAGAAGTGAACTTGATAGTTCACTCATCTTTATCTTGATTAGGAGTCACCACATTTTTCTTGAATAGTTTCATACCAATTTATACTCCCATCCACAAGGCAAAATAATTTCACTTGCTCTAATTCCTTCCAAATATTAGTATTTTCAGGCATTTGATTATATTTTGCAATTTTATGAGCATAAAATATCTCATTTTTGTCCGAATTTGCATTTCCCAGATAACTAGTGGCTTCATCAACTTTTTAAATGTTTAAGAAATATTTGGTATTCTTCTTCTACCAACTGTATATTTATATATTTGCCCATTTTCCTGCTGTGCCATTTAACTTTGGTACATTTTTAATTTTTATTTATTTATCTTAATTGACATGTAGCTGTACATAATTATGAGGTACAAACTAAAATTTTTTTCTTTTTTTCCTTTTTTTTGTCTTTTTTACTGACCGGTAACGGGATCGCAACCCTCAGTGTTGCGCCCGTACCGGGGACCGGCAACGGGATCACAACCCTCGGTGCTGTGCCCGCACCGCGCTCAGCCAGTGAGCGGGAACCGGTCTCCACATGGGATCCGAACCCTCAGAGGGAGCGCCGTCGCGCTCCCAAGTGGCGCACTCTCTAGTGCGCCACCGGGCCGGCCCCAAACTAAAATTTTAATACATATATGTTGTATAATGATCAGATCAGGGTAGCTAAAATATCCTTCACCTCATACATTTATCATTTCTTTGTGGCAAAAACATTCAAAAGCCTCTCATCTAGCTATTATGTAATATGCAAAACGAGTTAATATTTTTAGTACATTTTTAATAGTTACTGGTTACTAATCCTTATCAGTTTTATGCATTAAAAATGCGTTTTCTTTGTTGCATCTCTTTTCATTCACTTATATTTTCGATGAGAAGTACAGTAAAAAGGTTTGTGTCACTGGTATCCAATATTTTTTATTATGTGATCAGGAAGAATTTCTCAATATCCATGTTTCAAAGGTATTGCTGTAGATGGATTCCCACCCCCCCAACCTCACTGAGGCTTAATCCCTGCTGTAACTGCTAAGAGTGGGAAGTCCTGTTATAGTAATTGAAAGGTGGGGCCTTGAAGAGGCGATTAGATTGTAGGACCGTGCAGTAGTGAATAGATTAATAATGGTGATCAGGGGCGTGGTTCTGAGGGCTTTAAAAGGAGAGTGAATGAGGAACAATCTCTCTCTCTCTGCTGAAATAGAGCTCCCTACACCCTCATAACGTACTCTGTCTGCTTCTGTAGAATTGCTTGCTTAACCTAAGTAACTCCATTTTGCCCCCTGTCTGACCTGCAGACTATCCCCCCTTCTGCATGAGAAACCATTGGCCTTTTCATTGAAACAAAAAACAATTACGTAGAAACAGGAGCCATACGCGGTGAACTGTTACATGGGAACAGGAAGCACACACAGTGAAAACTTGTATGCTTGGTTGCTCAAACGGCTCATTCTTGGCCTCTGTGACCCAGCTCCCTAGCTTGCTTTGTGCACCTGGACAAACCCGTGTGCCAACGGGATGTAATTTTTGTCTTTAAAAACCCCACAAGGGGCCGGCCCGGTGGCGCACTGCTACAGTGCGTCGCTTGGGAGCGCGGTGGCGCTCCCGCCGAGGGTTCAGATCCCACATACAGACCGGTTCCCGCTCACTGGCTGAGCGAGGGGCGGGCGCAGCACTGAGGGTTGCAATCCTGTGGCCAGTCCTGGTCCGGTACGGGCGTGACACTGAGGGTTGCGGTCCGTTGCCGGACACAAAAAAAGACAAAAAGGAAAAAAAAAACCCCACAAGACCAAAGCCCAAGGCCGCTCTTCCTTGGTTGCACCTTAGGAGACGGTCGCTGGCCAGCTGGAGGGAATAACCTGCCCTTTTCTGCATGAGTGGCGTGTAAGTGCAT